CAGTGTCTGGGGTGCTTGGTAATTTCATAGGTTTGCAAGCTCCTTCCTTTACAGAGAGGACACCAGGTTTATCTCTTTTCTTCAGGAGTACTTCCCTTTCTTGTATTATTTTTTATGGTTTGTTGATCACAGAATCACAGAATCCAACAAGTTCTCTCTCCTCTTGGACTGTGAGCTCTTTGAGGGCAGGGACTGTTTTTCCCTTTCTTTGTATCCCCTGTGCTTAGCATAGTGCCTGGCATGCAGTTAACACTTAATACGTGCCTGTTGACTGACTGACTAAAGGAACCTTGGGAGGTCAGCTAGTCCCTGCTCCAGGTATGACCCTAACTCTAAACCACCCCAGAGATATGGAAATCAGTCATCTGACTACATTATTTTACTTAAGCTCCAGTCATCTTTCTGCTATATACCAGTTGTCTCTGTCCAAGACATTCTGGGTTCAGAACACGGACAGCCTTGACCTAGCCAAGGTGAGGAATAGGAGCCACAGAATCTAGTGCCCTGCGGTTGACTTGTTCGCTAAGGGCAAAGTAGCCCGACCATGGATTCTATGCCCTTGGCTAACAAGGGCTAGGGCTGAAACTAGGGCTCTGCTCAGTCTTGCTTGCTCAGTGCCCTTTCTCACCTTTTTTCTTCCTTTCCTCTCTTTCCCTCTCCTTTCTTCTCCTTTCCTTTCCTTTCTTCTTCTCTCCTCTCCTTTCTGCTCCTGACCTTCCAATGAAGCAAATTCTGTGTTCAAAGTTGCTGCTTGGCTGATCGCATCAGTGAGCTGGGAACACAATGCTAATTTCTGTGTCTGTGACTCTGGGCTTGGCTGCCAGGGTGGGGGGGCCTGAGGTCTGCGTGCATGCTGTCTCATGAGCCCAGGCAACTCTGCAAGCTAGCCCTCTGGCTTCTCAAAATATGCTGCTGGCAGATGCATATTTTAACAACACACATCTGTTGGCTATATAATCTCTTGTATTTGCCCTCCTCACTTGGTGCTTTGATGGAGGACCTCTGGGGACCTCCAGAGGTTCCAGTCAAAGTGTTTGCTTTGCAATTTTCCTGGAATACCATCTGATTCGACTCTCACATTTTCTGCAGGTTCTAATCATGCTCTTACTTTATTTAATTAAAAATCTATCTCAGGCAAATACAGACTAAAATTAGGAAGCTCTCCTATTCCTGGAACATTGTCTCCTCTGGGGATATGAAAGGACACTTTTCAGATCTAGGATGTCATGGCAAAGCAGATGGGGTCTTTGTTGGGGGAGTCAGCTAGGTGCTAGGTGGACACCTCTTTCCCCTTCCCTAGGCCTTCCAAATGAAAAGAAACGGAGATTGCTCCATCTCTCCAGGATAAAGTATTATCCTTGTTTCCTATGTGGAGTCCCTTCCCAGGGCTAAAGGCGGGGCGGGTGGTGGGGTATGGGTGGGCTGGATACCCGATGAAAGGAATGTAGCCAATCAGGAGAATTGATCGCATCCATGTAGTAGACAGAAACTCTTGAGCGTGATGGAACCAGAGACTCTCTAGCTGTGGAGATACTGTTGGGTATGGCTAGAGGTGTGGTCCTCCATTAAGGCAGGGGTTTGGGAGTGGATGGTAGAAAGAGGACTAGATTGGGGTAGAGTCATAGTCTGAGGCAGGATTTGAAACCAGGTCCTTTAAGCTCCAAATCCAGCACTCTTAAAGCATGAACTATTTGTAGTGTTGTTGTTATTGCTCTTATGAGAGGCAGCAGAGCACCATGGTTAAAGGACCGGCCTCAAAGTCCAGAAGACCTAGGTTCAAACCTTGCCTCTGACATGTCTTGGCCGTGTGACTCTGGGCAAATCACTGAACCTCCCATGGCTCTAGGCAACTCTCCAAGGCTTTAAGTTGCAGAGAAGGTGCTGACCTGCTTTGGTAAAGGGAGTTTCCTCAGCTGGGAATTCCCTATACCAATGTAATCACAGGGTCTGGTCCCTTGCCTAGTTGCTGTCGTGGATGACATTACCTCTTATGGTCACTTTCTCTTCCTCAGAGGGGAGGGTCTTGGGCCAGACTGAGATCAGGAAATAGCCCACGTACCCCAGCTGATCTCTGAATTCCAGAGGAATATCACTTACATAGATATCCAGTGTTCAGTGGGCAGTCCAAGGCAGTGCAGGCAGGGGAAGGGGGCAGGCAGAAGAGAGAAGAGTTCTATTGGCTGCCTCTAGGCATCATAAAGCATCAGGAGGGTTGGAATGTAACCCACAGTGAAGTGAGGGCTGTTAACCTCTGATCCCAAGACACTATTCTCAGAAATATGTCTGGTAACCTAGAGGTACAGATTAAGGAAAATACAGGAAGGCAAGGACCACAAACTATCCTGGAAAGGCTTTCGGTTCCTTAATGGGGAAGGGTTAGGGAGAGGGATAAGAGGTATCTACTGTTTTATTCTAGGCTGGAAGTTCTTAGGAGCCTGTGTATTTTTCTCACTGGCCAACTCCATATCATGGTGTAGCGTACCTTTCTCTCCCATCCCTTCCCCTCTCTTTCCCTATCATCCCCTCCCTTACCTTCTCCTCCTCTCTCTTGCCTTGCCCTCATCTCCTCCTCTTCTCTCTCTTCCTTTCTCTTCATCTCCTCCCCTCTCTTTGCAAGTCACAATATTTCCTGAATATTGCCAATGTATAAGGCATTTTGTCAGTCTCATCTCTCTAGGGTAGCTTTGTTAGGGTCCTATCTGGAGTCGTGGGGATGGGCCATATGATTTCCTTTAAGGCCTATTACCTCCCAAGGTTCCTTCTATCACCCTTGATACCTGGCAATTCTATGAGTGCTAACAGAGCCCCTTCCAGGCTCTTCCTTTTCAGGAGGGAATATAGTTCTTGTTTTCCTGTGTTTTCCTTAATCTGTACTTCTAGCTCTTTTAACCTTTGCTTTTCCCTTTTTCTTACTATAAAGGAAAATCAAAGGTTAAAGGAGATTCCTGAGGTTTACTTAGGGGGTTCATCCTTCCCATCTCTAGAAGCTCAACTTGGCTCTTAGAAAGTGATCCTGAGGAGCCAGTCTGCTGGAGTGTTTGGAAAGATCTGTCCCCGTGCATTTAGCCATGTAGATCTGAAAACAATGTGACAAACTCTTTAATATTTGATTTCTGAACAGTAGTGCTGTTTCTCATCTGCCCATACAAGGAGGCAGCATCCCAGTCTGCTGAGCCTGCTGTCAGACATGGGCTCTGGCTCACAGGTGGGGTAGGTAGAGTTGGTGATCTTTCTTGCTTTGGTATCACATGCTTAATCCCATGCTGGGGGCTTAATACTGCCTTGATGTGTTCAGTAGTGTGGTACAATGGAAAAACCATTGGACTGAGTCAAATTATCTAAGTTTTCATCCCAGCTCCACTATGTACTAGTCATATAACCTTGGGCAAGTCTCTTAACATCTCAGAACCTCAGTTTTCTCATCCACAAAATGCTAAGCATGCCAAGCTTATTGTGAGGATTAAATGAAGTAACGTGAAAATGTGCTGAAAAATGATAATGTCTGACGCAAACATTACAACAATTATGTCAAGTGTCTGTGACTTTATTAGTGCAGGAACTTCTCCCATCAATGTTGATTGTAACCCAACTATAAGCTGGTAGATAATTCCTAGAAAGTCCAACACTACCCATTCCATCATATTGCGTCTATAAAAACGTACAATATTATTAGTATTTATGAGGCTTGACACACAATGGATATTCACTGCACATTATTGATGGATTGGCTGAAAGTTGAAAGGGAAAATATGGGGGACTAACCTCCAACTTAGAGAATTTCAGACCTTATAAATCCAATGGGTTCGTTTTTCCGCCTTTGAATAAGACTGCCTGAATGAAGGAGGGGTGACTGCTTTGGGCATGCTTTCCCAGGAAGATTAGGAGCTGATGGGAGCCATGAAAGGAGGACTTTAAAATATTATGGCAGCTGGTGGAGCAGTGAATAGAGCTCTGGGCCTGGAGTCAGAAAGACCTGGGTTCAAATATAGCCTTACACCCTTATTAACGGTGTGACCTTGGGTAAGTCATTTAACATTTTTTTGCTTCACTTTCCTTAACTGTAAAATGGGGATACTAATAGCACCTACCTCCTAGGGTATAAGGATCAAAAGAGATAATATTTGTAAAATGCTTAACACAGAGCCTGGCACATAATATATGCTAGACTAGCTATTATTATTAAAAAGGTTTATGACTAATATTATGTGATATGGAAAAAAGGTTAGGGGAGGGTAGGGTGAGGGAGAAGGACAGGAAGGGAGCAGCAACGCCCTGAGCTTTAAGGCTTAAGCTTCAGTTCAATACAAGAGGCATTTATTCCGCTAGCTGTGAGTGATACAGAGATAAAAACCAAGATTCAGTGCCTTCCTTTGGAGAGATTACATTCTACCATATCTGTACACAGACAAATACAATGTAAAGTGGGGGTAGTTGAGGCCAAAGAGAGAATAGATGAAGGGATCTAGGGGAATCTAAGGAGGGAGAGAACCTTTTTAGGGGGGTGAAAAGGAGAAAGTACAGGAACCAAGAAACTTCACGGAAGAGGTGGTATCTGAGCTGAACTGTTGGTGAATGGAAGGATTCTGAAAGGTGGGCATAAGGAGGCAATGCATTCTAGACCAAGGGAGCCACCTTTGTGTACAGAGGTGGGTGATTATGTCCATTGAGGTTGGGGGATGACAACTCATAGTCCAGTTTGACCATAATGTAGACTATGTGAAGGGGAGTAATGTTAACTAAAGTTGGTAAGGTAGGGGAAGCAATATTATGGAAAGTATTGAATATCAAATTAAAGAGATTTTTCTTTTTTCTTTTTAAATCCTAGGCACAATCAGGAGCCACTGAAGGCTTATGAGCATGGTCCACCTAGCTAGGTGGCAGATCTTCCCAATGTGGCAGGAAACCTCTGTTTTCCATAAATGCTTTTTCTGTATGGACCCATTGGATTTCCCCGTAGGTCAATCCACACTCTTGCCACTTCTCAAGGCCAGAATTCTTACCAAGAACAGTGAGGCGGGCTGGGCGTGACCGGATGGCTGCCTGGATGGCCTGGCATTCATATACAGCATCATCTTGCAGCTCTGCCCGAAGAATCTTCAGATGATGCTCCCCAGACAAGTGGTTTCCTACCACTAGGTACTGAGGGTAACCTGTAGGGACAAGTCAAATAAGCAGGTAAGAGAATAGAGATGAGGAATTGGAGAATTGGAGGAGCAGGGTGGGAAAGAAGTCAATGTAGGAAACAAGGGGCTGCCTTGGGTCTCAGCCTAGGAAAGGTGAGTGGAGCCAGAGGAGCTAGGGCATAGACAGAGCAAAGAGGTGCCTATCATTATCTTAGCTACCTTGGAAAGTGGAAAGGTGGGAAATGTAAAATTTGTGTTTTAGATAGTATGTAGAGCTATTGAGGGTGGGTTGATTGGGACTTTTCCAATCTGACTGTTGATAGAACTTGTACTCCTTCAGGAGGTAGAAACAACTAAACTTATCACCTAGTTAAGAAGAATAATTTTGTTAATATTGAAAATAGCTAGTTTACCACTTTTCCCTCCAGACCCCAGATAAGCCTTGGCCTACCCTGTCCCCTTTCCTAGCTGGGAACCCAGCGAGCATTGACCTCATGGTATCATTCTTGGGGGAGGGGGGAGGTAGTGTTTCAGAGTTCCTGTCTTCACTCCCAAAGAGTGCTACTTTGGGAATCAGACCTGGACACAAATCCTAACCTGGTCTCTCACTAGCTATGTGACCCTGGGTAAGATTTCAGTTTCCATATCTTTAAAATGAAGGACTAGATGACCTCTAAGGTCCCTTCTAGCTCAAAATCTACGTTCTTATCATTCTCTGATTGGGCGAAATGGTAGAGTGGGTTCTCTTCCCCTGGCCTTGTGCCCTGAGGGATCTCTTTAACTACACGCCCTGCTCTCAGCTTTAGGGCCTGGCTACCAACATTGCTAGTTACAGCTCTGGTAACTTGTGCAGAGGGAGGGAAAGGGTGAGAGGCAAAGAGGGCAGGGCTGGGGTAAAGCTGGGATGATGTGGGCCAACGGGGGATTGTTGTTAAGAGGAACAGAAGGTAGAAGTACTAGATTGTGGTACAGTGCCTAGCCCGGAGTGAGGAAGATCTGAGTTCAAATCAGGCCTCAGACACTAGCTGTGTGACCCTGGGTAAGTCACTTAATCCTGTTTGCCTCAGTTTCCTCATCTGTAAAATGAGCTGGAGAGGGAATGGTAAACCATTCCAGTATCTGTGCCAAGGAAATCCCAAATGGGGTCACAAAGAGTCAGACAAGACTGGACTGAAACGACATAACAACAACAACACTAACAACAGCAACAACAACAGCCAGTGCCTGGTGTTTAAGGATATGTGGCCTCCTGGAACAGCCTTTTAGCTTTATTCAATTATTTGTTCCGTCCACCAATTAAGCCTTTATGGGACCCAAAGCACTTATGAATGCCCCCCACCCCAGCCCCTACTTTTTACAATGAATAATAGATAAATACTCAATGAAAGTGATAAATAATTAATCTGATCTCACAATGTAGGGTCTAATTTAAATTCTAATGAGTTAAGTTCTTTAAACTGATAATGTAGTCTTGTAAGTCTTTGTTTTTGGCTGAAGCATCCAGAAGGCCTGTACTGGACAGGATCTGTTGACTACTCTTGACTTTTGGCTTAACCAAGGCAGAGCATGGATCAGCTAATCCACTGCCATACAGAGCAAGGCAACTCCCAAAGTGAGTGCTGCCTTCTCCAAGGGCCATCTCTACTTTGCTTGGGAGAGTGATGGAGAGGTCAGGAGATGCCACCTCCCTGCTAGTCACTCTCTTTGACTTTAGCTAACCTTCATGATGTTGGAAAGTTCAGTTGAAATCTGGGAAAAGGGCTCCCCTTACTTTATGCTGCCTTCTTTAGATCATGTCTGTTGTATTTTGTCCAGGTCTAGGCACTACATTTTGAGAGAGTAACAGCTTGAGAGACATGGATAGGAGGCCAGTCTTGGAGTCAGGAAGACCTGGGATGAAATCTTGCCTCTGACACATACTTGCTGTGGGCAAACTACTTGATCTCCCAGGTCTCCAGGCAATTTTTTAAGATGCTAATTTATATAGGAGTTGCTTATCTGCTTCAGTGGAGGGAGTCTGTACACTGGGAATCCTCCACATGAACAAAATCACAGGTCTGTATCCAATAGCCGCTCACTTTTATATAACACTTTAAGGTTTCAGATTGCCTTGTTCACCATAACCTTGTGTTATAAGTGGCATCATTCTCATTTGACAGATGAGTAAATTGAGGCTCAGAGAGGTTAAACAATTTGCCCAGGTCATGTGGCTAGTTAACATCACAGATGAGACTTGATGCTGTGTCCTCCAGGCCTCAAGGTCTTTCCTCCTACTGGGGACTATCCAGAGAAGGGCAGCTAGTATAGTGAGATGATTCAAAACTGTTATATGAGAAATGGTTGGAGGAACCAGAGGTGTCTAGAAGTGAAGATTTGGAGAAGCCCAATCACTCTCTTTAAATGTCTTAAAGCTTGGTCATTTGGAAGAGGGAGCAGACAGACTGTGTCTTACTCTAGAAGGCAAAACTAGCACCAATAAAAGGAAGTAATCATGAGATTGTATTTGTCTAGACATAAGGATTTTAAAAAACTCATTAAAAGAACTAGATGCCTTGTTTGGCAGTGAGCTTCTTACCACCAGAAATGTACAAGGAGAGGCCAGATTACCACTGATTACAGTATCCTTTTGTTTCCTTTTTGTTTCTTCAGCATCCTTGATGCTTGCTGCGGAAAGGACTTCTCCCCTGTATGGTGGGTTGGACTAGATGAATTCTAAATTGCCTTCTAATCCTGAATCCCAAGTGGCCTGCCAGGGATGTGAGCAGGGTACCTCTGGGAGGGACCAGCACCAGTCATAATCAGGGGATCTTCCTTCTGCATTAGAAGGACCGATGACATTCTATCAGGTGCTTCACAACCTGGTTTCAGCAATTACTCTTATAACATAAACAAAAACTTGGACAAAACTGGCTATCTTAATGTGAGGCTGAGGGTGCTTAGAACTCAGCAAGCTCGGCTTCCTAATTTCCCTTATTTCCTTCTGCTGTGGGACAGGAGCCGAGGTGAGTGAATTGCCCTGCATCAGGGTTGGGGTGAGAGAGGCGGGGTGGGGCTGAGTAGTGATGAAGGCGTGGGACTCCCTGTTCTAATCTTTTCACTCCTGCTGCTTTCCTTGCAGCAGGCTCCCCCTCCCCCTTTGCCGTCTCCCCTGGATCCCCCTGCCCTGTTATTAGTCTTGGGCCTCCTGCAGGCATTGTGGCTCATTCTTGCATTTGGTTGTTTTGCAAGCTATGAGCAGCAGGACTTTGCTCTCATGAGTTGCAGAAAACGCAAATGATGGGTTTGTTTGTATTTGGCTAATTAGAAGACTAGCTGAGATGCTATCCTAAGAATTGGCAGCTTCTCTGGAAAATGCACACCCAGAAGCACTAATTTCCATGGCGGTTTCCCGCCCCAATCCTTCCTCAGAATTTTTTCTCTCTTGAAATCCCAGAAGACCAGTGAGATTGTGAACTGTGAAGGAGCCCAGCTGAAAGTCACAATGCACAGGTTTGGAGAGGGGTGCGCAGAAGGGGGACCCCGGGAGAGTGGAGAAGATTTGTTGTTTCACAGATGGGGTACTGGGCTGGGAACCAGGACACCTGGATTTGGGTTGTGTTCCATGTTTATCAACCGTTTTTGCCATCTGGGACTCTGTTTGCCTATCTGTCAAATGGGGAGAACAAAATTATCCTTTCCTTCCTTCCCTAGATCACTGGGGATTTATGAGATGATGTTTGAGAAACATCCCCAGCTCCTTCAACTGATCTGGGCTTTGCTGCTTGCTAGCTGCTTGACTTCTAGCAAATCAGCTTAATTGAGTCTCAGTTTACTTCTCTGAATCTCAGTTTCTTTATACTAATTCTTATACTACATATCTCACTGTGATCCAGTGACACTGGCCCCCTTGCTGGTCCTCCCACAAGACACCCCTTCTCCTGAATCTGAGCATTTCCACCAACTGTCTTCCACACTTGGGAATCTCTTCCTCCTCATCTGGCTTTCCTGGCTTTCTTCAAGCGTTAATTAAAAAACTTCTTGACCACTTACTTTTCCCAATCCTCCGTAATCTTAGTGCCTTCCCTCTGAGGCAATCCCCAATTTATCCTGTATTTATCTTATTTGTATAGAGTTGTTTGCATGTTGTCTACCCCATTAGATCGTGAGGTCCTTGACAGTAAGGACTTTTTTTTTAACCTTTCTTTGTACCCCAGTGCTTAGCTTAGTGCTTGGCATATTGTTTGATCGTTCTCAGTCATGTCTGACTCTTCCTTTCTGCTTGCAGTAAAAGAAATTGAAAAAGCCTCTTGGCCACTTTGTTGTTATTGAGTCACTTTGGTCGTGTCCGACTATTCATGACCCCATTTTGGGATTTTCTTGGCAAAGATACTGGAATAGTTTGCCATTTCCTTCTCCAGCTCATTTTACAGATGAGGAAACTGAGGCAAACAGGGCTAAATGACTTACCCAGGGTCACATAGCTAGTGCGTGAGACCAGATTTGAACTCAGGAAGATGTCTTTCTGTTTCTAGGCCTTGTACTCTATCCACTGCACCACCTAGCTGCCCAAGGTCCTATATAAATTTAAATGTAATTAGGTTATTTATTATGTGGCTTGTCCCTACTGACCTCCTCATAGCCTCCTTGAGTCTGTCCATTTACAACCTCAGGTCATCCCCAGTCTGGTTGAAAACATCTGGCAAGGAATACAGATTCCTTAATTAGTAAATGATGCCAGGCCAAACCCAGGGCAGCTATTTGGGGTTTGGGAAGAATGTCTCTTTCCCTAGTTAAGGGTGGTGGAGGGAGTTCAGATTCTTTGAGACTGGCTGGTTTCCATACTACTTAAACTTTATGGCAACAGACAGTATATTTTGGAGAGATTATTATGTATTTTTTCCATGCTCAGTTGGGCTGTAACATTCATATCCTGTGAATATATTGACCATTGCTCTAATGTTTCAACATATATCTCTGGCAAGACATAACTTTCATTTTAAAATATCAATTTTCTGGCCATCGTGTTCCCGAAGGCACTTCATTTTTTATTTTTTTTTTCCTGCAGCTGTATACCGTATGGGAGGCAGAATTACTTCTTAGCTAGAGATGCCTATTGTCTGTTCGGCTGTATTAGGTGGATGCACAGCAAACCAGCAGCTTGAAAAAGGTCACTCACCTACTCATCCCAAGGGGCAGTTGTTATTTTTTCTGAGTGACTAAGAGTAAATGGGCAACTGGGTGGCATGGTGGTGTCAGTAGGCAACCACAATGTCATGAAGTGAACATGCATGTGGAACCCAAAGAGTTCCCAGTTCTTACAGAAGGTTGCATATTTATGACAGTACAACAAAAGGAGGAGGAGAAAACAGAAAGGGGCATGACATGGGAGCGAAAAGGTGCAGTAACCCTCCCAGAGGGGAGGAGCAAGGCGATGGCAAAGTCGAAGTTTTATCCCTTGGGAACCGCTAGACTATGAAGATGGGAGGATCCTATTTGCAAAGGACCTCAGTTGCCCAAGCATTTTCCCTAGCCTGACACAGACTGGCTGGCACCTATTTTGCATCCCCAAAATACACAGGGAATCCAGCTTGGGGAGCAAACAACAACTTATATCAGCTGGGGACGGGGGGGGGGTTCATCTCCTTTACACATTCAGGGCCACCACCATGCAGGGTCTCTGGAAAAGACTCAAAAAGACAAGTTTAGGGGACTCCTTAACAGCCCTTAACAGTGGATAAAACACTGGATCTGGAATCAGGAATGCTTTCTTTCCTGAGTTCAAATCTGGCCTCACACACTTACTGTCTGTGTTACTCTAGGCAAGTCACTTAACCCTATTTGCCTCAGTTTCTTCATCTGTAAAATGAGCTGGAGAAGGAAATGGCAAACCACTCCAGTATCTTTGCCAAGAAAATCCCAAAGTGGGGTCATAAATAGTCGGACACGACTGAAACAACTCAATAACAACGAAGTGACCAAGAGATTTTTTCAAATTCTTTTACTGTAAGTGGATAGGAGGTGCTGTGTGATGTTGGGTGGGCAGCTCAAGGTTTGGCAACTTATTTGCCAAGATGTTTTCTGTGTCTTTCTCAGATGTGTGCACACTGTTAAAATCACCAATGAGTATGATAAGTAGGACACATTCTTTGATGGAATGCACAAAACAGTGATTCTTAGAGTATGTTCTGAGCACACTTGGGGATCCCAACACCCTTTCAGGGGTCCAAAAGGTCAAAATTATTTTTATAATAAATTTAAATTTCTAGTATAGCAAATATAACCCACAAAACCAAAATCTCTTTGGGGAGACTTCAGTAATTTCTAAGAATGTAAAAGAGTCCTGAGACCAAAATGTTTGAGTCACTGGCAGAGAGTTAGAGCTAAAAGCGACCTTGGAGAATATATAATGCAATCCCCCCATTTTGTAGATGGGAAAACAAAGGCCTGGAAAAAAATGACTTACCCTTTGACTCCAAATCCAGTGTCCTAACTACTATATGTCTAGGAATGCTTAAGGGAAATTGGGATATTTAGGTTGGAAAAGATAAGACTATGGGTAGTTATATGGAAGAAAGAGCAGATTTGGGGAATCTGACATACAAGTTAGTTGAACATCAATCCAACCTGTTAATGCTAGAGTTGGTACAGAGTTAAATTTACAGCATGTCAGAGATGGAAGGGAATCTTAAAGATCACATAGTCATCCCAGAGAAGTTAAAAGTCTACAGTTATGCAGTTAATTATAGTCATAACTCAAATTTATATAACACTTTAAGATTTACAAAATACTTTCCTTCTTTTTTTATTAAAAAAAATTTTTTTTAGGCAGTTGGAGTTAAGTGACTTGCCCAGGGTCACACAGCTAGTAAGTGTCAAATGTCTGGTCTGAGACTGGATTTGAACTCAGGTCCTCCTAACTCCAGGGCCGGTGTTCTATCCACTGCTCCACCTAGCTGCCCCAACAGACTTTCCTTCCAAGAACCCTGGGAGACAAGGAGAACAAATGATGATATCCCCATTAACAGATGGGGAAGCTGAGGCTCTGAGAAATTAAGTAGTTTCATAGCTATCTGTCAGTCAACAAGCACTTTTCAGGTGCTTATTATGTGCCAGGCATTGTGCTAGGACCGGGGATACAAAGACAGGCAAAAAATAATCCTTGCTTTCAAGGAGCTGATACAATGGGAGAGATAACATATAAACAACTATGTATAAATAATATGTATGCAAATGTATATATATGTATGAAAATTGGAGATAATTTCAGAGGGAAACTAGTAAGTGTATGAAGTAAGGTTTAAGGCCAGATCTCGTGACTCTCAAATTGAATTCTATTTCATTTACACCCTGCTGCTTCCCACGATGCTATTGCTTTTTTTTTTTTTTTAATCAAGACATCATCAATTTGTACTCTCAGAGCTGAAAAGAATCTTGGAGATAATTTAGTCTCATTTCTTCACTTTATTTATTTATATGAAGAAATTGAGACCTATTGAAGTAATAGGACCAGAAGATCACAGATTTAGAGCAGAAAGAGACCTCAGAGGTCATCAAGTTGAACCCCACTCCATTTTACAGATTAGGAAGGTAAAACACAGGGAAGTTAAGAGACTTGGCCAGGGACACCCAGCTACTAAGTGTCATGGGCAGGATTTTAATCTAGTTCTTCCTGAATCCATGTCCAGGGTACTACCCACTAAACCATGTTTCCCACCTTGAAATATAAATGTACAGGTGAAATGCTGTAACCAAAGTCATACAGTTAGTGACACAGACAAGACTTGAATCCAGTTCTCCTAATTTCCAGCCCCCAAATTCTTTTACTATGTCATGTTGCCTTCCAAAAGATTGGGTCTGCATTTAGAAGAAGGGAAATACTGTGGAGACTTTGACCCTGGTCACCAAGAATAGGGATACCCCTGACTCCTAAAATATAACTAACATTTATAGGTCCATTACATTGAAGTTGAAACTAGATTTTATAAGGCAACATTATATTTATTTCATAATCGATCACTTAGAGCAATCCTTTCTCCTTTCTTTCTCATTCTTTCTTTTCTTTTCTTTCTTTCCTTCTTTTCCCCCTCCCTCCCTTCTTCTTTTTCTTTCTTTTCCCCCTTTCTCTCCTCTCTCCCTCTCCTTTCCCCTCTCTTTAGCTCTCTCCCCCTCTCCTTTCTTTCTCTCCTTTTTTCTCTTTTTTCCCCTTCCTTCCTTCCTCCCTTCCCTCCCTCCTTCCCTTCCCTCCCTCCCTCCTTCCCTTCCTTCCTTCCATCCAACACTAACAGTGAGAGAGTTTCAATTTCCCAATTTTCCTGGACCCTAAGATTGCTTAACTTGGTTCTGAATTGATGTTCCCCACTCAAAGCTTAAATAAGCATTGGTGAGACTCACAAAGGATAATAGATATTTGTGCAAGAGGCATGGTGAGTAGTTAGACAGGACAGAGAAAGGACAGTGTATTTTCTCTGCTAAGTTGGAGCCCACAGAAGATATAGTCATACTTACGTGAGAGATCCCGGCCTACACCCAATGCCAGGCCATCTTTGATCCAGAGGACAAAGCCATCATATTCTGGGATGGCACAGAGCAGTGTCACTGGCTGTCCTGACACCACCACTTGGTCTTGGGGCTGCTGGCTGAAGGAGTATACTTGACCTGAGGAAAAAATAAACAGGAAGGTTGGGTTATGTTTAGTTCCAGACTAGAATTTTAGGAGGGACATTGACCACCTGAAGTGTGTTCTGAGGAAGGGGGACAAGATATTAAGAGGACTAGAACTTGTGCTATAGGAGGAATTGTTGAGGGAATTTTAGATATTTAGCCTGAAGAGGAAAAGAAAAGATTAGGCAGGTATTGGGGGTTGGGATGGGATGGAGAAGAACATGATTGCTGTTTTCAAAATACTGGAGAAGGGGCAGCTAGGTGGTGCAGTGGATAGAGCACTGGTCCTGGAGTCAGGAGGACCTGAGTTCAAATGTGACCTCAGACACATAACATTCACTAGCCGTGTGACTCTGGGCAAGTCACTTAACCCCAATTGCCTCACCAAAAAAAAGTTGGGGGGCAGCTAGGTGGCACAGTGGATAGAGCACTGGCCCTGGAGTCAGGAGGACCTGTGTTCAAATTTGTCCTCAGACACTTGACACTTACTAGCTGTGTGACTCTGGGCAAGTCACTTAACCTCATTGCCTAGTCTAAAACAAAAAAAAACTCCAAAATATTGGAGAGTTATCATGTGGAAGAAGGATTAGTTTTATTTTCTGTTCCTGCTCTTGGGCAGCTGAGTGTCAGTGGCAGAAGTCATGAATAGAATTGATTTCACACATTATAAATTTATGTCGTTGTATAACTTCAACTGGGCTCTCAATGTAGCTTGGAAATCTTACTCTGTTATTATTGACTCTATCTCATTTAACAATTGTTCCATGCTTTTTCCTCTTTCCTCAAATACCCAATTACATCCTACCTTCCACACTTAGCTTTCTCATTGGAAAGATTGAGACCATGCATTGGGAGCATTCCTCACCTCCTCTCCTTTATTCCTCAAAAATCTTCAGCTTCAGTAAATGTATCCATTACTTTTTCTCTCTTTCCTTCAGGAAGAGATATTCCTTGTTTTAGATTTTTAAATTAAATTTTACTTTTTCAATGAATAAGCATTTATTTTATCTCCCTTCTACCTTCCCCTCTCCTCCTGAAAACAACAACAATAAAATAAGAAAGAAACCCCTATAATAAGTATGCAAAGTCAAGCAAAACAAATTCCCACCCTGGCCATGTTCAAAAACATGTGCGTCATCCTGCATGTTAGTTCATCACTTCTCTGTCAGGAGGTGTATTCATACTCTTGTTAAACTGAATCCTTCTACCTGTGCCCTTGCTCTCATCCCCTCCTTTTCCTCCAGCAATCCTCCTCACTCCATCTGCCCTTACTGGCTTCTCATCTGCTTACAAACATTCTTAGGTTTTCCCCATCGTGAAAAATTCTTTCCTCGACTCTTCTATTACATCCAACTATCATTCCATCTCTCTCTTCCTCTAGGATATCCATATTTTTGAAAAAGTTGGTTATATTTAATGTTTCTCACTTCCTCATCATTCACTCTCTCCATGTCATGCCCTGGTAATCTTGTTTCAGAGACATTATAGTATCTTGGTTCTTGTACCTTTCCACTTGCTCCCTTTCTTGTCTCTTCCACTGGTTCCATTTCCTCTTTTCCACCCCTTAAACTCCTACTCACACCTCTGTCTGTCTGTCTTTCTTTGTCTCTCTCTTTGTCTCCTTCTCTGTCTCTGCTTTTGTCTTTCTCTCTCCCTTCTTCTTTCTCTCTATCTCTCCCTCTCTCTCTCCTTCTCTCTGAAATCTTAGTTACTTCCATGACTTCGGCTATCACAGCTACACACATGAATCCCAAAACTATCTCTAGTGTTAACCTATGAAGCTATAATAAATAAATTGGTAAGTATTTATTAAGTGCCTACTATGGCTAGGCACTATACAAGGCACTGAGGGATCAAAAATAAAATAGTCCCTGAACTCAAAGAGCTTATATTCTATTGAAGGATATGATATGGTAGAAATAGCTCTGGTTTTTGAATTAGAATATTTGAGTTCAAATTTCACCACTGACACCCACTTCAGAACATGCGTGACTTTGGGCCAGTCATTTAGCCTTCCGGGTCTCAGGTTTCTTATCTGTAAAATGAGGAAATTAGATCATGTGGCTCGGAGGTCTCTTTGAGCTCTAGATTTATCAACTCATGTGTAGACATGACTAAATACAAAATAAATACAAGATCTTTTAAGGGGAGGCACTAGCAAGTAATGAGTCGAAGTCTTGACACATCTCACTTTGGGGCTTTAGTTTTCTCTACCCAGCTACAAATCATCTTCTCTTCCTACCTGTCTCCTTTGCAGGTTCCTTATTCTCTTTCTCACACTTTAACACGGCTACTCTGCCAACAGTCTCTCCTAGTCTGAGCCTCTTCTCTTCAACTGCCAATCTCAGTCACTCCTCCAGCTCCAACTACCCCTTCTATTCCAAGGCTCCCAAACTCTGTTTCCTGTTTGGGCTTCTCTTCTGAGCTCCAGATTGACATCTCCATCTCCATGGTCTACCAGCAACAAAACTCCACTTATTGTTTCCCCCTCTGAACCTCTTTATCTTTCTATCATTACTCTTTTTGTCAGGGGCACCACCATTCACTCAGCCTACCATGTTGAAAACCATGGTGTCCTTGATTCTTCTTTGCCCTTCATTTCTCATATCCAATTACTTACTAAATGGGTACTGATTCTGTTCCTATTATATGTATTGAATCCATCCCCTTTTCTCTATAGGCTGCCACCATCTTAATTCAGACCTTCAGAAACACTCACTTGGATTACTGTAATAGTTGCCCAACAGACCTGTCTGCCTGTATTTTTTCTCCTTGCAATTCATCCTTCACACCTCTGTCAGGCTAATCTTCTAAGGAAGATACATAGATCAGGACATATTACTCTTCTGCTCAAAAATCTTAAGTTGTCCCCTATTGACTATAAAGTTTAAATTCCTTTGCTTGGATTCCAAGGCCCTCACTAATCTGGTACAATGCTACTTTTCACAGTATCATAAAATCTGAATTGGAAAGGACCTCAGATGCCATCTAGATCAACTTACACTTGAATAAAGATTCCTTTTACACTATGCTCTGGCAGCCTTTGTTTGAAGGCTTCTAGTGAGGGGAAAACCTACATCCTTTCAAGGAAACCCATTAGACTCTTGAATAGTTCCAATTCTTAGGAAGTTTTTTCTTACAAAGAGGCAGGATGGTCTGGTGGTTAGAGTGCTGGACCTGTCAGACAGACCTGGTTTAAAACCCGCCTCTGATAACAGCTGAATGATATATCACACACCCTCTCTTTTCGTCTCACTTTTTCCTCATCTTCTCAAATAATACATGCAGAATTTACTTCACAGGGTTTTTGTGAAGCTCAAATGAGATGTGTGTAAAGTTCTTTGCAAACAGTAAAGTGCTATGTAAATACCAGTTATGACATCAAACCTAAAATTGGCTCTTTGTAACTTTTACCCATTGCTCCTATTTCTGCCCTGTGGGGCTAAGCAGAATAAACATGTTCCTTCAACCTTGTGACAGCCTTGCTAAAAATTGAAGACAACTATCATATCCTTTCTAAGTCTTCTCTTCTCCAGGCTAAACCTCCCCACTTCCTTTAACTGATCCTTGTATAGACTGAACTCTGAGCACTTTTCTTTCCTGTTCACCCTGCTCTGGCCTCTTTCCAGATTTTCAATATCCTTCCCATAAGGAGACATCCAGAACCGAGTACCATCCTCCAGATATGGTCTGACCAGCACAGCATCCAGTGGCACTACTACCTCCCTAGCCCTGAACACTTTTCCTTTCTCAATGGTATCTTTTTGGCTGCCATATCACACTGCTGACTCATACTGAGCTTACAGTTCAATAAAACACCCAAATCTTTTCTAAACTTCTGTCTGGCCATAATGGCTCCCCAATCTTTTATTTCTGAAGTTGATTTTCTAAAAACAAGTGTAAGAATTGAATTCTTATTAAATTTCATTTTTATTATATTTTGTCCAGTGTTCTCCTTGTGATGGTCACTTTTTCCCTAGATAACACTAATGATTTCTTTAAAAATATATTTTTAGAATAGACAGGAATTGAAGTCAAGCTTACTGACCTATTATTTGGAGAGTTTATTTTCTTCCCCCCTTCTCCTGCTCCCTGTTTTTGTTTTGAAAACCAGGACAACATTTGCCCTTTTCCAGCCCTGTGGTACCTGACCCTCATTTCATGAACTTTCCAAGATCACTGAGGATGGCTTAGCCAATCTGCCAGTTTTTTTCAGCACTTGAGGATGCAATCCATCTGGCTCTACTGACCCGAACTCATCATAGGCATCTCTGATTCTTCTAGCCTTATTTGATACTATTTTCCTCTACATGCTTTATTCTCCAGCCACATTGGATGTCTTCTTGTCCCCCCAACATGTTTTTCATTTTTCTGCCTCCATGTCTTTGTTCATGCTGTTCCCTGTGCTTACAACACCCTCCTCTCCTGATCTGACTTTTCTTCTCCTCTTGCCTATTGAGTTCTTATCCATTCTTGAAATTCCAGCTCTAATACCACTTCTTTTGATTCTCATCCCATCAAGTCAGTAGCAACATTTCCCTCTTCAGACCTCAGAAAATACTTTGTTTTGCATCTCTCCAACGTACTTATTATGCATTATGTCTATTTCCACATTTGTCATGTTTGCTTGACTAGATTATAAGCCTCATGAGGGCTTGTATTAAATCTTATTTATTATTCTATAATCTTGGAAATTACCTTTAAAGCATCCCCAGCAAGCGGTCATGCAGCTATTACTTTGAACATCTCCTGGGATGGATAGGTAACTTACTACCTCATGAATACAGGAGTACTGGGAGCTGTGTTTCAACTCTGTGAGCAGGACCGGCACTAGAGAGAAGTTCCCAACTGGAAGTGGTACTATGGCCAATAAAAGGAAGGAAGGCTTATCACTGGTAGCCCTGGAGAATGCCTTGGTGGCATGGCAGCCAGTCCAGGGACTAAGAGAACTGGGGCAGGAGGGGCTTTGCAGCCAGTGTAAGGCCACATTGGAG